ATGTTAGTTCCTTCTAGAGCATCCAAACCATTCTGCCTAGGTTACGTCTCCCATTCCTGCTTTATTCTTATCATTCATTACCAATGTAATTGTCCTTACAGTATGACAGGTCTTGCTTTGGGTTTGCCAAGGCTTATGAGTTAAGCAGTGAACACAGAATCACTGAACATCTTTCATAGTTCACTGGACCCAGAACCAAAGGACCACTGGGGATTTATAGTTTATGGTAAGAATGGCAGTATTGCCATGGGGGAAATATTTTGGCAAGATGACACATTGCCGTGATTCAGCAATTAAGTTCCATTGTTTAGTCTCTGTGAAAATCAATTTGCAAAGATATCTGGGTCTGTTGTATGTTCTAGTTTATATGTAAATTAAAAGATTGTGTGGAAAAGATGCCAGGGATGATAGAATTCAAACATTTTCAGACCAGTTGTCTATAAATTAGCTAAAATGATTCTTACTCAATCTTGCTTCATTTACATTTTTTCTCAACTGTAAGTTGTATTGATCAAGCTAGAAAAAGGCAGCTTTTAGCAGATGTCATGATATCTGATGCTTTGCAAAATGAAAGAAAGTTTTTAAATCTGATTTATTGGGTCATCCATGGAAACTAAGGAAAAAGAATTCAACAATGATTCTTGAAATTTGAACATACAAGCAGTGCCCCTATTTTCTATAATCCCACCTCTGCTCCCAAAAAGGTGACACCTTTAACCTGAAAAATAACACTATGAAGGATAGTCAAGTATCAGAACCTTGGGGATAACTCAGAGCTGTGCAGAAACCCAGAGGGTGAGTTTCTCACTCTAAATTATGCAACCTAGTTCATATGTTCATCTTTGCTCTTCACATAAAGTCAGCTCCCCTCCTGTTCTCAAACCCTTCATTTCTTACAGCATTTCTCTTGCATCTAGATTACACCACAATTGTTGATCTATTCCAGTTGACACTTGAGGCAACTGGACTAGTTTCAACATTTTACTTCTTGCCCCACCACTTAACACTGCATCTAGTAGCATTGACTTCTTTCCCTATTGTGGACTAAAATCTTGACCAAGCCAACCAGCACCAGGACACTATCCCTGAAGCAACTTTTTGTAAACAATCTTTCTCATTATGTGTTCTAGGGGCCCTGCAGGTGGCACCCAAACACATCTGCTCTACCTGACCTGACGCTTTTTTCCCTCCCAGACCATTCTGTTTACTTTACGCTATAGTTGTATGGCCATTTAAAATCCTAACTTTGAGATAGTTGACTTTCAGGGCAATTTAATTTGAACTTTTGCACTTGAAACATATTTTAACTGAAAAATAAGTGCCAATGTTACTCTTGATTTCCCAATAGAGAAACAGTAGCAAAAGTCTTGCAAGGGTTGTGGCAATCTGCTCACGAGTGAAACTTCTGCTGGAGAAGAACTATAAACCATTGCAATGGAACCTTGTGTTAGTACCAGAAAGTCTTAAGACCTGGTTCTGCTCTTTGCTCTGTCTTTCCTTGCCTCTACCTGTGCAGCTTTGTGTTGAGTACTTTACCCTCTGCCTCTTTGGTCTTAATACCATATATACATTTAGAGTAGATGGTCTCCAAAGTGGCTTTTATTTCTGAAAATCTATTCATTATGGGTGATTTACAACCATCAATTCAGTGTTGAATAAACTCACATATCCACTCAGGAGTGGAACTGATGAAACACACAAGGGAAGAGAGTGTTTCTTAGCTGTTCTCTGCTTACTAAGCAGGTGGTTAGAATCAGAGATTTAGGCTTTGATAGTGAAGTAGGGATATAAAACCTCAAAACTGATTGTCATAAAGAATCCCATGTCCAATAAAAGCAAAAGCAGATGTTCTCATAAAGTTTTGCTGTTTGTGTTTTTGTGGGGAGATTTTTTGAGTATGAACTTTATTAGCAAGGCAGCAGCATCTGCCCACCCATGCTGCCACATAGTAGTCTTACAACCCATTTATGGGGTTGGAATTATTTTTGTTAATGATTTTCATGGGAATAGATGAAATGCAATGTGCCCCAGCTGTAACTATGTTTATCAAGCAGCTGCCTTCCAGAAAATCAACACCCACCCCGCCCCCATCATAGACATCTTGATTGTCAAAAAGGGCTTTGTCTCACCGTGTTTTAAAGATAGAAAAGGGCTGTATTCGTTTCCAACCACTTCTGTGACAATCACCACTGAGTAGTTTAACACAACACAAATTTTTCTTATCTTATAGTTCTGTGGGTCAGAGTCCAAAATGGCTCTCATGGAGTTGAAAATCACAGTGTCCTGAATTCCTCCTGGAAGCTTTAGGTAGAAATGGTATTATCTTGCCTGTTCTATCTTCTAGAGGCCACCCACATTCCTTGACTCATTCATTCCCCTGCCTCCATCTTTGGAGTCAGGAAACTTTTATCTTTTCTTCACTGACCTCAGTTTTCACTCCGTTTTTTTTTTTTTTTTTTTTTTATGCCACTAGCCCTCCCATCACCCTCTCATAAGGACTCTTGTGTTTATATTGGGCCCAATCAGATAATCTCTCCATCTTGAGATCTTTCACTCAATTATAATCTGTGATGTACCATTTAGTATGTGCATTAAAAGCTAAGCTATTACTATAACAAAATACCTTAAAGGAGGAAAAATTTGGTTTGGCTCATGGTTTCAGAGTTTTAGTCCATTGTCAGTTGACTCAATTGCTTTTAGGCCTCTGGTAAGGCAGCACATCATGGTGGGAACACATGGTGGGGAAGATGCTCACCAAGGTTGTCTATAGAAGCAAAAACAGAGAGAGAGAGAAAGAAGAAGGGGTAGGGTCTCATAAAATCCTTCAAGGACACACACTCTCAGTTACTTAAAACCCTCCATGAGGCCCCACCTCTTAAACATTTCCACCACCTTCTCATAGTGCCCATTTAACACACGGGCCTTTGTGAGACATTCCAGATTCACACTATAGCATAAAGTAGCTTCCCAAGTTCAGATGTTAAGATGTCACTATTTTTGGATGGGAACTGATCATAATTCAGTCTACCATATGAGTCATGGACACTAACCAAGGACCAAGGGATCCTGGCCTTACCTAAGATCAAATAGTTGCCTATGACAGTCCCATGACTGTATCCCTAGAATCTTCACCTATGACACTTTTATGTACATCCCTGATAAAAAGAGACAAGAAAATGCCCTGATGGAGGCTTTATTTTAATAACAAACTTGAAATTATTAAGCAATAAGTATAGGATTAAGCAATGACTTTAAAACAAAATGATCAGATTCGGGAAGACTGAAGTTTTTATTTTTAAAAGTGCATTTGAGAGTTTCCTTAAATATTATAGTTTTGCTAGCACATAGTACCTTATAAACAAGGGATTTGCACTGATAACATAAGAAATAAGAGCATCAGGAAAGCACATGTACGTATGAAAATGTTCTTCCTTCTCCCTCTCCTCCTCCTCTTCGTCCTTCTCTTTCTCCCTCTGTTGCTGTGACCATATATATCATTTTGAAAATTGTTAATGGTTAGAAAGCTAACTTAGACTCCTTAAACTAAAGGGAACAGAGTACCAGAAGCTTATTTGTATGAATGAAATCAAACTAGATATTTTCCATATTTCGCCGTGAAGCTCATCCTATGTTGGTGTTGAAGCACTTGTCAGGGAATCCACTTCTTCCCAGAGTTGACTGGAATAAATAAGGAGATGAGAATAGAACTTTGGATTTAGATGGGACTAGACATGCCATGCACCCAATTCTTCTCTTGAATTATGGGACTCTATTTTTGGCAAGTGTTCACCAAACTCCAGTGTTTGCTCAATTTTCTCCTTCTGTGGTATGGGTAGGAATAATGGCTGCTATAAGTTAAAGGTTGTATAAAATTTGGGTAGGTACATTTAGGAGGATTGTGATTTGTTTTTTATAATCATGTTCTCCAGGAATCAGTCCCTGGTGATGCTACTCCAAAGCAAGGTCAGGGATTCCTTACCTAGTATCTCAAAGCACACTCCACTTAACCTCACCCACCCCCCACGGTATGTTCATTCTTCTTGTGCTTTTCTTTTCTCCCCATGACTCAACCTAGCCTGGGGCTGGACACAGGTAGGAGCTCTATCTATATACTGTGGGGTAGATGAGTGAATGAATGGCCATATAATCTCAGGGGGATAGAGGACACCTGGATCTTGTGCCTCAATGGAAGTACTAAGAGGGGCAGTAAAACACTGAAGGTATAGTTTCTTCACTGATATAAAATTGGTAGGTTGGCTCTCCCATTTGCCTTGCTAACTTTCTTAAATAAAAGAAAATGAGACTGGAAATTCCATGGAGATTTATCCTAATAGATTTTTTTAATGTGACACTGAAAATGAGCAGACGGCTTTCCTTTGGATATTTGCACTCAGCGCTCATGTCATTTTTCTGCCCATCAAATGATCACATTCTTCAGCTGCTGGAACTTTAGGTTAATGACACAATGCTAAACCAAACAATGACAGACTCAAGTTGCCAAGTTCCTGTCTAACATTGATTTGGGGGTCATAAAAATAATTCACTCCCTCAGTTTGGTCTTGACAACCCATAGAAAAACACCTTGTATATGTCGAATGACACTTTCTTTGAAAAGCTTCAGATATCTTTGAGATAGAACAAGGCTGATTCTCATTCAATTCCTGCCAAGTAAGAAAGCAAAGCATCAACTCCAGAATTACTAAATATTTTGTGTACCTTGAATATTTTGCAAAGACAATATGGCTTGAAAATACAATATTAGCACTAAAGCATTAATATTAACTATACCCAACAAAAAGGTCACAGGATAATTGGCCTGAAACAAGAAAGTCAACCCTTAAGAGATTATGAATATAGGTTTTAGAAAAATTGACTAGATTTAGGCCAGGAGCTCAGAAAATGGGTTTTCTTTGATTTTACCACTTTGTATGGTAGCCCTTTTTACATTGTTTCTCCACCCATCCACTCAGCCTAATTCTATAATTTCTTTTTATTTCTAGTTCCTTCTTTCTGGGGATTGGTGAACTCAGCTTGGAATCTTTGCTCTGTGGGGAAACGGCAGTCACCAGTCAACATAGAGACAAGTCACATGATCTTTGATCCCTTTCTGACGCCCCTTCGCATCAACACTGGGGGCAGGAAGGTAAGCTGCCATGTTGCTTCCATCATGAAATTGAAGACAGGTGATGCTAATTCTGAAAACTGATCCTCCAGGGCCTGATGAGTTTGTCTTTCCTTCTAGAAATACCATTGACTTCAGGCCCACTGCCAACAAGTATAATTATGTCTACATTGTACTTTTTCTCCCTTGCTAGTCAAACTCTCATGCTGCACCCCCTGGAACTTGCTTGAGGTCCTCGCCCTTGGTGCTCCAAGGTCAGAAAACATAGTTGCCTTCCCTGCACGCCATGTTGGGAAAATCCTTTCTCTGAAACCCTTTACTGGGCCTTATTTTAGCTTCAATGAGGTGGAGAAAAATTTTTTAACAAAAATAAAATCAAATGTTTATCATCCTGAGAGGAAAAAACAAATAACAATCACCTTAGGTGATTTATAAGAAAATCAATAATTAATCTTCTTAGGGGCAACTTGCTGGATAAGAATCCCTGCTCCTGCTTGGAAATGCTGAGCTATGCTTTGTTATTCTCACACCTGACTCCCCCCTGCCCTCTCCTCTCCCTGTGATGAGTTCCTCCTTAATTTGTGGAAGGGCATGGTTCCTGCAGGGGCTTCTTATTGCTAGAATCCAGCATTGCACTTGCTGGCTTATTTCTATTTGGCTACCTTTTACTATCTAGTAAAATGTCAGAGGTAGAAACACACACACACACACACACACATAGAAAATTGTGTTTGAAGGTGATTTGGTTGTTGTGAACTCAGAAGGAATAAAATAATCATTTCAAAAAATTAGGATTAAAATTATAGACAGTTTTTACTGTCAGGGGCTGATTCTCCAGGGCTTGGTCTTGGTAGGCTCTGTCCCCACCCTCACCGTGGAGTTTGTACATTAATTTTTTCCTTTCTTATAAATTTGAATATATTTTCTCCCACATAACTGTCACACACACACACACACACACACACACACACACAAACCTCATGACTCACCAAAAATGTTAGTGACTTTGACTAAGGTCACAAGGCAGGTTTTAAAAGACATTGCCTGTGAGATTGAGACCATTTAGCTATGCAGTATTTGGATGCTGTTTAAATATGACTTGGGAAGCATTTTTGCAGAAAGGTCCCATGGAGGTTATTTGGTTGATTACTATGAGTCTATAGAAAACTAAGCTACTCTAATTATTGTTCCATTTGAAGTTTTATTTTTATAAACCCTAAAAAGAACTTGAAAAATTCTGAAAAGGAGAATCATTCATTTAAACTCATGAACATGTGTGAGTTTCCTGGTCAGGATTTAAGAAGTAAAAGTCGCAGTCTTTACTAAATATTCAGTCATCTTTTGTTTCTTGGAGAGGATGGTGATGGGTGATAATTATATTCTGGGCAGAAGAAAAACAGTAAAAACAAAAAGATCCCAAGGCAGAATGTGGTTTGGTGCCTGAGTTTCAGAAAACTCACCTGGAAGGTGGCCAACAAGTCTTGAAGCACAGACACCAAAGACAGGGTACTTGGAGCTGAGGGTGAGGATGGAGAAATTGGCTGAGATCAGATCCTGAACTCAGGAACTTAGGAACTGGATCTTTTTCCTAAGCCTTATGGCATGTATTTGAAGGATTTTTAGGGAAAGTGTACATTGGGAGTTGGAAAGCTAACACAAACAGTGGACTCATATTCCATCTTGCATCAGATCTTAGTGGAAAATGTTGATGTGAACAGAAGAAGCATACTTCAAGACTGCTTATCTCCAAAATTTATTGAAGAGACTAAGAGATAGCTGGTGTTAAAAGTCTCTCCCTTTTATGATTTTGTTGTTATTGTTTTGATGCTTTTTTGGGAGAGAGAAAGTGGATTTTTTTTTATCTTTCCAATTCAGTAAAGTGTACCTGGTCCAAATCAATTTTCAAATGCACTGGTGTTTGGGATTTTGGAAACATTTACTTTTGATGATATAAATATTTATATCTGGCACCATCTTTGTTGTCAGCAATTTGGAGACTGACTGGTCTTTGCATTTACAGGAGGTAGAAAATAAAACACAGGCACTAGCAGGATAAACTACCTGGTAATGAAATGCCAAAACTTGATAGACAATAGCTAAATCATGTTTGCAAGCTTTTTAAAGGTGGTGTTTAATGAGTTAGAGACTTGTTTTAGAAGTGAAGATTCAAATCACTGCTCTGAATTTAATTTTTTTCCTTAAAGAAATATCCAACTCAAAAGGTTTGAAAACCACCTTGTGAGATGGAGGTTTTGTAGAATTTGGGCAAGGTGCCAAATTTTTAAGTCTGAGATCAGCAGAGTAGTCGGAAGGTTACACACGCCCTTGTAACTATGTGTTTTGTGTCACACTTTTATCAGTGAGTTTTATTCCTTCTGGCGTTTAAATGTGTCTTGCACACAAAACCGTGAAGCAACTGTGCCACCACTCTGACTTGGGTTATTGTGTTTACCTTAACGTATCTGACCTGACATGGGGTCAAATGATGGAATAGAGCTTTTTCTTATAGGCTAGTGTGGAAATTCAACCTCAACACAAAACAAATAGATGAGAATCAAAATGAACTGTGACTTGGATATAATAGAGAATATTCATTTTTAGTTAAATATGAGATTTCTTTCACCTTTTAACTTGCTGATTTTCAGTGGTAGTACTTAAGCAATATTTTTGTTTATTTGTTTGTTTACATGCCTTAGAGAGGAGTGCTTTTTGCCTAGCTTTCCATATCTGACACTTGGGACTCTTAAAGATAAAATCCAAAATAATCATATTTTTTAAAATGACGCTTCCATAAGGTTGGCTGCATGTGGATATAAAGACCCCCCCTTAGAGCCAGTCTTCTACCCTTGACCCCGTTAAATTTAACATCTGGTATTCTGAATTGTTTGGTGCTAATGAATCCATTCTAAATAAAGCAACAAAATCAACTCAAGATAAAAAAAATAATGGATGCATTTTTACAGACATCCTACTCCAATTTGGGGGATGTGGCCACTCCTTGATAAAAAATGAAAGTTCCAGGATCTAGAGCCTCTGGGGAAGAGACAGAAGGCAGAAATAACTAGCCCCAGCCTACTGACTTGGTCATAGATACTATAAGCAAAAGAGAGAGGAGAATGACTTTCAGGGGCTCATGGATTTGATACTGTCCAAGGGGGTCTGGGCACCTCTCAGTTATTAGGTGTAGGTTCTTGGAAATCTGAACAAAGAATCGAACAAAATGTACAGAAGTAGCAAGCAAAGCATGGATTTATTGAAAGTGGAATGCACTCCCACAGATGGGAGTGCACCTGAGTGAAGCAGCTCAAGGCCCCTATTCTCCTGTCCCTGTTGTAATTTAAGGTGAAGCTGGGGCTAAAGGGAAACTGAAAGGGGCTTAAGAGGGGTGTTCTTCTTATGATTGACAGCTTTGATTGGCAGGATACTATATAATATATTTTTGACTATGCATGTCCCTACCCATAATGCATTCTGTTATAATTACATTCATATGATGTAGTCCATATGTACGAGGCTTTAAGTATGGGGGTGGGGGAGGGAGGGGGCTCAAAAGGTCATCTGAGGACAGGTTCCCCAGTCATCAGTATATAAGCTATTTTGGGACTTTGTCTTCTGCACATACATCTCCCTTTATCATGACCACAAAAATCTAGTTCCAAGGACATTCCCAACCAGATGCTTCCTGAAGAGGGCATGTCCTAGGCAGGGCTTAGGGTAGGTCCTAAGGCACCCATTTACCCATTCTTGGCCAACCAACCAAATCCTCCTGCCTCAGACTCATCTCATCACAGAGGCTCAGTGGGGACCCTAAGTTGGGTGAGTTAAATGCAGGATGCTTCCAAACCATCCCATGACCTGAAGGACTGAGGAGAGGGAGCAGCTACCAGAACCAGGAGACAGAGCTGGGAGAGAAACACCTGACCTTCAACAAGACAAGCAGCCATTTTGGTGACACTCACAAGAATAGAGCTGGGGAGTAAAGACCCTGACCACATTCCCTTTCCTCTCCTCTTCTGCCAGACTCCCTTTGGAAAGAAGTCAGAGGCTGTAGGAGCCTGTCGATTCAGCCTCTAAGCCACAGAGAAAGATCAAGGGACAAATGGAAGACAAGTGACACCAAGCTATAGGTGTATCTACATGACCATTTCTACATTTTCCATAAGATAAATACAAGGTTAAAGGAGTCCCTATCACCTATAAAATAAGGTACAAATACTTCAGCAGGGGATCTACAGCCCTTACAATTCAGCCCTAAAGCTCATTTCCAGTGATTGTAGCCTGCTTATAATTCTCATATACCTCTTACGTCCAGTAAGATTATAATATTTATTTTAAAACTGAATGCATCTCACCTTTCCTGGGGCTGTGTGCTTTGGCTGCAGTATACCTTTACCTGACATACCACAGGACTCTCAATCCTTCCTTTTTATTTATTTATTTTTATTTTATATATTTTTCATTTTTTGGTGGTCCTGGGGTTTCAATTCAGGGCCTTATACTTGCCAGAGTAGTGCTCTATCACTGGGGCCACACCCACAGCCCTTTTTTACTTCAGTTCTTTTTTGGATAGGGTCTTGCAATTTTTCTCTAGGCTGGCCTCAGACCTATGCCTCCTAAATAGATGGGATTACAGTCATGAACCACTACTCTCAGTTATTGGTTATTTTTGCTGGGATTGGCCTTGAACCGTGATCCTCCTGATCACCTTCTGAGTTGCTGGGATTACAGTTGTAACTCACCATGCCCTCCCTTTTCTTCTTCTTATCTGCCCTCTGTGGCTCCAATGCTACTTCCTCCATGAAAATCCTCTTGGTCTCTTTGGCTGGCTGTGAAATCTCTCCTCATTTGACTCCTTAAGTACCTTACTTATCTTGCTTTTAGAATTTGAACCTTGGTCTATAGTATGTATTAGACCTGGGTTAGTAACTCTTCAGATACGCTTTCATATTTTCATTTTGTATCACTGGAGTAATCTGTGATAGTGCTGGTTTGTTAAGAGATTGTCTTTGAATACTAGGGGAAAGATTTATGTGGAATTAGTCAAAAGTTGCTATGGTTCAAGGTGGAAAAAATATGAGATGCCC